AGAGAGAGAGAGAGAGAGAGAGAGAGAGAGAGAGAGAGAGAGAGAGAGAGAGAGAGAGATGAGCGATACAAGTTTGGTTGTCACTTACCTGTGAAGCAAGCTGAGTAGACCCACAACGGAGGGAGAAAGCAGCTATAGTCGCGGAGCTGTACCATAGTGTGACGAAGGAGGACAGAGAAGGAGGGACCGAGGAGAGAGATCGAGGAAGAAGAGTGGAAGGAGGGACATCGGCGAAGAAGACAGACATAGCCGAGGGTGCCCAAAAAAAAAAAAAAAAAAAGGAAGAAGAAGGTGAAGGAGGAGGAAGGAGAAGACAAGGGTGGCGAAGGAGAAGGTGCCGACAACCATAGCCGAGGTCGAGAGTTGACCGGAGGGTTGACCGGACGTTGACCGGAGGGTTGACCGGACGTTGACCGGAATGTTGACCAAGGTGTTGACCGGGGTCTTGCAGCGTTGACCAAGCGTTGACCAAGCAGTTGACCACGCAGTTGACCGGCGCCGTTGACCAAGACTTTGACCAAGCTGGAGTTGGTAACATCTTTTCAAGCCCTTGGCCTACCCCCTCGCCCTGTGGATGTGCACTCACCCTACGGTACTTGCTGAGTCTGTTTGTCTCTTCTTTTTGCATCGAGTCTCTTCTGTTTTAAGTGATAGTCCTCTGTGCATGAGGGATAGGCCTGGACGACGAAACCCCTATCGGATCTAGTAGGGTTGAGGCTGTGAAAGATCCAACTGTCCATGGGGCCCTAACCCTCCCAAGGACCGGTGCTGACCGGCTGGACACGGTTGGTATGGAAAAGTGGGCCTGAAAGACTGAGTTGGGGCTGACTTACCAGGAAGTCTTTAGGTGTTGAGGGCCTGTTTGAACCACTCCCCTACTGGACCAAGTAAGGCAGAGGATCTGTGTCTGACGACTCGACTGTCCCGGGGGATACGAACCCTCCCAAGGACCGGTACAGATTGGCGGGCTGCTCGGTGTGGCACAGTAGGCCGGAAAGGCTGAGTTGTGGGCTGAAAGCACAGGCAGAACCAAGCTGATCACGTCGTCCTGTCTGCGACGTTAAAGAATTCTTGCGGAGTTGGGGGGATCTCCTTAAATGCCTTCAGATCAGCCACTGGTTCAGCTTGGACAGCCTAAGAGTAGGTCTAGGCTAGTGACCATAGCTGACAGGGTTCGACCCTGTGGTCCTTAGAGAGTCACGCGGTCAGTGTTTTGGGTAGTTCTACGTGGTGAGGAGTGGGACATTGTCGTGCACCTGGACACCATGGATGACTACCCCATGTACGGTCTACTCATTGGGTTCTCCCTCTGGGGGACCCTTTGGCGTTTCATGTTTCTGTTGGGATTCAGGAACACCTTTGCGTGTAGGGTAGAGACCAAGGGTGGTACGACCACGCACCCCTACACCCCTGAAGAAGAGGCCAAGGCTGCCGTCATCCTGAAAGAGAGGAGAGAGAAGAAGGAGGCCAAGAAGAAGGCCTTGTTGGAGGAGCAGGCGGCGAAATTGAAGAAGATTGAGAAGGAGATGGCCAGAGAAAAAGAAAGGTTGAAGAAAGAGAAGGAGGCGAAATTGAAAGAGGTAGAAGAGGAGGAGGAAGAGGAACAATTGGTGGAAAGGAGGAGAGAGCAACGAGGGCAGTACAGTGGAAGTAAAAATGATGAGATGGAGAAGAGGATCTCAAAATGGGTGGCCAACTTGTCTTTGGGCGAAGAGGAAGAGGTTGCCATGTATATCCCCAAGGACGAACAGGAGGCCGCCATGGAAGAATGGGATGCAGATGAAGATTCCCTAAAGCGGCAGGCGATGGAGGATGAGAAGAAGATGGAGTGGAGGCTCAGGATGATGAGGGAAAATAAAAGAAGAGTAGAGGCGGCAAGTGAGGTGGCCAAAGAGTTGGAGCAAGTCAAGAACCTGAGAGAGCAGATGGCCGCCACAGTGGATCTCCAACGAAAGGTGGAGATCATTGCCCAGAGTGTTGAGCGCTTAGCCCGGGTAGAGGGAGAACAATATGAGTTCATTAGAAGTCAGGATATGGTCGTGCGCTCGATGCGGATGGGATTTCGGGACTTTGTCCGCGAACTGGTAGGCGCAGTAGGGGCCGAGGTGAACCATCGCCTCGAGAAGACTGAACGATTTTGCGTGGGCGCCATTGAAGGCGTCAAGCTGACAGCCCCCAAAGAGGAAGAGGCACATCCTCGGAGGGAGCCAGTCAAATTCAAGTTCCCCAATTCCTACAGTGGAAAGAGGGAAGAGAACTTTGACAATTGGGAGGCCAACGTCAAGACTTATGTGCACTTGCAACAGGTCTCCCCGGATCAACACGTCTTGATTGCTATCCATGCGCTAAGAGATGAGGCTGCCAGTTTTGCGACGTCCCTAGTCCGCTCTGCCAACTGCAACGACGATGTAGTTGCCTACTCTTAATTCACCCCCCTCATAGATTTCATGAAGTTGTTGCGCGAGCGATTTGCTGATGTCGCCCGCAGTGTCAGAGCCTCTGATAGGCTCCAGACGATCCATTCTCGACAATGGAAAAGTGCTAGGGCACTCAAGGGTGTTATGGACGAGTGGGTGGCTGTCCCTGACCATGGGGTCACAGAGACCCAGTTGGTCAACCTTTTCTATAGGGCTATGCCCGAATCTCTGAGAGGCCACTTCTTTGCGAAGAGTCAAGATCCTGCTATGACGTATGACGCACTCAGCAGAGAAGTGGTAGCCTTTGAAGCAAAGTCCAAGTCAGTATCCACTTTCAGGCACAAGGACCTTGATAAAGGTAAAAAGTGGAAGGGCCACACTATCTTAGGGCAAGTAAAGACCAAGGAATACTCGTTCTTACCTTGGATGAGGGTACTGTGGATGGGATCCCCTACGAACAGATCGAATGGGGATTAGAGGATGAGGACAGTGGGGTAAGTCAGGGAAGAACTTATGTCGTTGTCGCGGCAGGAGGGAGGCCGCAAGGAGGAGGACGAGGCCAGGGCCAAAGGGGCCGGGCCTCAAGGGGCCGATTTCAGGGCGATCAGGAGGTTGGTGGCAGAGGAGGAAACCGCCAAGCGGGAGGAAGGGGTTAAGGTCCCCCGCAAAACCGGTCTGGAAATAGGTCCCCTTACAGGAGAAGCGGCACCCAGGGCTGCCTCAAGGCAGGCCTTGGGAAGATTTGGTTCTGGACCAGCGCATATGGTAACAGTGTGTGACCCAGGGACAGTACATTTATTGCGGTGACCCTGGCCACATCATTAAGTACTGTCCAAAGTATAGGGAGACCCGATCGGCTGCTTAAGGGTCAAAAGGCAGCGGCCGGTAGGGGTAGCAACTGCCCCTTCCATAAGGCCATGTGGGGAAAGTAGCGCTAGCCGACAGGAAACTCCTACACCACATGTGCCTATGACAGAGGTTGTAGGCTGGTGTCTAGATGGTTGTCCAGAGACCGCTTGCGTTAGAGTCTCTCTAGACACCTCCCTCACAGGCGTGGCTGAAAAATTGAAGGAGAGGATGTCCGCATGGGCCAAGATGAAAAAGAAGAATAAGGGGCAGCTTATATTAGTAGATACGGAAATTTTTAGAGGACGAGCGGGCGCCTTAGTGGATAGTGGAGCCACTCGTAGTTATCTCAGTAGGAAGGCGTTGCAGAAGCTGAAGTTGCAGTTGAAAGTCCAGAGACTAACAGACCCCATAGTAAGTATCCTCGCGGATAATCGCACCATGCGAGTGGAAGAGTACGTAGAGGAAGTCCAGACATATTTCGCGTAGAACAAGATGAGAAGGTGGAGAAAGTTCTCCATTCCCTGACTTTCCTCGTAAAGGATAGCCTCCCGTTTGACATAGTTCTAGGTATGGAATGGGAAGAGGCAACAGGGGCCACACTCCATTTGAGAGAGCACAAGTGTAGGCTCCCTAGTCCGTCAGGCGGCGTCAAGACTGCCCGTCTGTTCCATGTGTCAGGAGTAGACAACTCCTTGGCGCACTGCTGCCTTAGTGTTCCTGCGTTTGCAAGGTTAGTGAAGAAGGAGCAATTACACGAACATGTTTGTGTAGCCTATGTTAGGCCAGTAACTGAGCCTAAGGAAGAACAGCCTATAGACCCTGGAATTGCCAAGCTGAACCGCCGATAGGAGTAGTTCCACGGCCCATCCAACATCGAATCGAGATAAAGCTTGGAAGTAGAACGCCCAAGGGAGCCGTGTATAGGATGTCCCCGAGGGAATTAGAGGAGTTGCACAAGCAACTTGACGAGCTCCTCGAGAAGGGTTGGATAAGGCCCAGTTCGTCCCCATTCGGGGCACCAGTTTTGTTCGTTCTCAAGAAAGAGGGAGAGCTTAGGATGTGTATAGACTATAGGGGTCTGAATGCTATCACAGTTAAAAATGCGAAACCACTGTCCAAGATAGACAATCTTTTGGATCAAGTGCAGGGGTGCAGATATTTTACGAAGATAGATTTAAAGTCCGGATATCATCAGATGAAGGTTCATCCTGATGATCAGTACAAGACAACTTTCCGGACTAGATACGGGTACTACGACTTCATTGTGATGCCCTTTGGACTAACCAACGTGCCAGCAACCTTCCAGCGATGTATCAATGATTTGTTTAGGCCGTGGTTAGATAGGTTCGTTGTAGTCTATTTGGATGATATCTTAGTGTTTAGCAAGACCCTCGAAGAGCATTAGGGTAATCTCAGGCAGGTCTTGGGGAAGCAAAGGGAAGCTAACTTCAAAATCAACGCAAAGAAGTGTGAATGGGCGAAGACCCAAATGTTGTATCTAGGCCACGTCTTAGACGGAGACGACATCAAGCCCGAGGATAGTAAGATCACATCGATCAGGGATTGGCCTACACCGCGTACATTGATAGAGTTGCGGTCATTCTTAGGGCTAGCAAACTACTATAGGAAGTTCGTAAGGAACTTCTCCACTATCACCGCGCCCCTTCACAGATTGCTCAGGAAAGAGACTATCTGGAAGTGGGACAAGGACTGCACGTCTCCCACGAAGAAGTCGAAGCAGGCACTGATAGAGTATCCAGTCCTTAAGGTGGGCGATCCGTCCTTACCCTATGTCGTCACTACAGACGCTAGTCAGTACGGCATCGGTGTTGTTCTGCAGCAAGACGATGGCAATGGTTATAGGCCCGTAGAGTTCATGTCTGCTAGGATGCCTTCAGAGAAGGTTGCGACGTCTACCTATGAGAGGGAACTCTACGCTCTCAGGCAAGCGCTAGAACACTGGAAGCACTACTTGCTTGGGAGGCACTTCAAAGTCTATTCTGACCATGAGACATTAAGATGGTTAAAGACGCAGGCCAAGATGACACCTAAGCTTACTAGGTGGGCCGTAGAAATAGACCAGTATGATTTTGAGCTCAAGTTAGTCAAGGGGAAATATAATGTAGTTGCGGACGCTCTGAGTAGGAGAGCTGACTATTTTAGAGCGATAGTTCACTATCTGGACATAGAGAGAGACCTGCAAGAAAGGGTTAAAGAAGCGTATGCGTAGGACCCTATCTATAGTGACCTCCTTAAGCGAGTACAGGAGGCCCCAGAGTACTTGAAGTCAGGTGTTGATAGGTCTCTGCGAGTGCTCTAGGATCGTATTCATATTCTCATTATCCTCCTGGCCTGCTTGCGTGGGGACTTGAGTT